CCGTTCCACTCGCTGGTCGTGCTCTTCCGTGCCGAGCAAGCCGCCGAGCTGTTCGAAGCCGAGGCTCCGCAGTCCGCCCGCCCGGAAGTCGAGCGCCTGAGGGCCTCCTCCTCCTCCTCCTCCGCCTCCTCCTCCTCCTCCTCCTCCTCCTCCTCCTCCTCCTCCTCCTCCTCCCCCCCCCCCCCCCCCTCCTCCTCCTTCCTCTCCTCCTCCTCATCCTCATCCTCATCCTCCCCCTCCTCCTCTCCTTCTAGGCAGGGCAAGCGTCAGCTGCTGGGCTCTCCTCTTCCTATTCCTCCGCCTCCTCCTCCTCTTCTTCTCCCTCTCTCTCTCTCTCCTCCCCCTCCTCCTCCTCCCCCCCTCCTCCTCCTCCTCCTCCTCCTCCTCCTCCTCCTCCTCCCCCTCGCTCCTCCTCCTCCTCCTCCTCCTCCTCCTCCTCCTCCTCCTCTGCCTCCTCCGCCATATCCTCCTCCGCTACGTCGGACAAGCTTCAACTGCATGGCTCTCCTCCACCTCCTCCTCTTCCTCGTCCTCCTGCTCCTCCTCTTCCTCCGTAGCCATTTAGCTCAAAATGCTTTGTTCCACAAGGGAACACGTGGTTACCGCTAGGCCACGGCTAGATCCGCTCCGCTGCGTCAGCCTGCCCAGGCGGCGCAGCATCCATCCTTCATTCACAGCCAAGGGCAGCCAGGCCCTGCAAGACTCAGTATGCTGGTGCGCATGGCTATGTGTTTTGTCCTCACGACGGCTGTCATTACAAGTGGTATTGGAAGAAGCATACTCGCTGCTGGCAGCGCAGTGAGTTTTTGCGTCCCGTGGGAGGTCATCCCCCACAGCGAGACGCAGGTGCATGAAACTACGGCCCCCCCGCGTTGGGCAATGCCGCCGCGCCCAACAAGCAGGTCAGCCCGTTCCGCAAGCCCCCTGGCCAATGTTCTCCAGGCGGCGGCACATCCATCCTCGCCAACGGCTCCATGCACCCTTTCGCACCCACCACGGACCAGCGCGTGGAGGCGCGTCTTCAACGCGTACGTACCTCAAGCCAGCTCTCAGCTCGGGGCCAGCAAGCGAGCAACTCGTCCCGCCCAGCCACATCAGCCAGCCGCGAACTCCAACCTCGAGCGAGAGCGTGAAGCACAACGGTCGGCAGTGGCAACACGCAAGGCAGACGAGGCTCTCGAGAAGGCCCTTGCTCATGAGCAAGACTGTCTCCAGTGGTTGGCGCGAGCACGCGAGACTGCCCCGACTGCGGCGCAGGATGCAGCCGATGCACGTCTGGCTCATGAACAACACCTGGAGAGTAACCTCAAACGTCTCAAGCAGCAGCAGGAGCAGCAACAAGACGAGAACTCCAATGACGGCAAATCAAAGCTCAACCTGTCGGTCTTCCTGACGGAGGGCAGCGACCGCGACACGAAATTCGAGTGAGAGGACGGTGGCGCTTTCGACTTCTCCGAAGTCGACCTGTCCCCTGAGGGCGTCACTGCTTGGCAGAACCACAGGAACACCCTGGCGAAGGAGATCTAGCAACTCATCAGTCAGGCAGTCGGCCCAGCTGCTGCGCAGCTGGGCGCTCGCAGGAAGGAATTCAACGATTCCGAGGCTCGTATGGCGACCAAACGTCGCCGACTCGGAGGTCAATGGGGAGGCGCCGGCAGCCGGCGAAGCGCGCGATGCTGAACCAGAGGCAAACTGATGGAGGAGCTGCTGAGGAGCCCGCTCCCGCGGCCAAGGCGCCTGCACCGCCAATGGCGCCGCAGCCCGCGGGGGCCCCAGCCAAGGCGCCCTCCTCCACGTCCTCTCCCCCAGGCCTTGCCAGAGCGGGTCCAGAAGCTCCTGGAGAAGGCGCGATCTGGTGTTCAGCCCAAAATTGAATCATTTGTAAGCAAGGCTGCCACGAGTTCACAGGAAACTCGAGGGCAACGCAATTCGGATCTATCCCAGACCCAGACATGAGCAACCCGATGTACGTTTAAGAGTTCGCCGTATGTCATTGTACTATCTCTCGGCGTGGGGCTAGAGGCGTGCCGCAGTTTTTGCCGAGAGCGACGTTGACATTGCCAGCATTCCAGAGACCCACGTCTTGGCCAGTGACACTCGGACTAGTTTGAATAGATTTAAACAGCATCGGTGGCATGGGATTGTATCGCCAGCATACCCTACGGCCAAGTAACAAAACACAAGGCGTATGGTTCTCGCCATTCGGCAGCATCACTCATGGACTTCAGTTCGTTACCTCTCTGGTGACCCAATTAATGCGATTGGTCTTGTGAGCGTTGGTGAAAGTGCAGATAGCAGTAGTCCATTGGCTTCCAAACATGTTGTTGCCCTGGAGTGGAGACTGTCTAGAGTATCCGTCATGGTGGTTGGTGCTTATCTTACTGTTTCTCGGACCTAATGGCCCATGCAACGTGGGCGAGCTGCTCGCGATAGCAGCCTTGATTTCAAACCACTGTGGTCCTTGGGTCATCATAGGCGATTTCAATTCCACGCCTGTGGAGCTTGCTAACTGGATGCGCAGGTGGAACGGACATGCTTATTTCCCGACAGGCATCGCCCACACCTCCACCAGAGGCAAAGGCTCGCGCATCACCGACTACGCCATCGGATCGTTTGATTGTTGTTCCTGTTTAACGTGATTCGGTTCATCAATGGCGATCATTGCGGCGTGGTTTTGGAGATGAATATTGATTCACAGTGCGCCGCTCGCCGTTGCCAAGCGAGATCCAGGCAGACCCTGACAGCAAGGGCTCACGAAAGAAGCTCGAGCTCGATCTCAGGCGCCAGCAGAACCACGCGCATCATGAACAGCAGGAGCAGCAGCACGACACAATGAACGGGAATGCCGGCACCGATGACGAGGATATTTTGGCTCAGCCTCAGGTCGCTCATAATTTCCTTCATTTTCCAGAGGGTGCTCGCAAATGCCCGCGCTGAGATTTCTCTGACTGTGATTCGGGGGCTCTCCCGCGCATGTGGCAGACGCATACCAGCGAGACCAACAACGTCAAGACCAGCAAGCACGACGACGACTGCGATCCCTAGCAGAATCTTCAATGGTCCGCTCATGATCTGGACGAGTTGTGGAATGCCATCGAGAGTCGTACATTACCGCATTCTGCCAGATCGGATCCAAAGCAGTTGTTCGTATCTGTATGGTCCTGGCGCCGCTGTAACTCTGGGTGCAGAATATGGCTTGTTTTCGTCAATTGTCTGGAGAGGTGTTGCACGCCATGTCCTGGGCGCACCATCAGAGCGAGCGCGGCAGTGCTACGGCCGAAGAGAGGCCCCTGCGTTTAAGCCGGCGCCCATGTCGCAGACCACACCAACGCGCTCGCATGCGGACACTTCAATCAAATGGCGGCTGCAAGTTTCAGGGTGGACCAAGGAGCTCATCAGAGTCACTGGTGGTGCGGAGTGCATCGCTCCACGTACGTTTGCCGCTCCCGCTGAAGACGGCGGGCCAGCCCCCCTCCTTTTTGCCGAGCAACGGTATCGGACAACCGAAGGTCAATATCGCACCGAGAAGAGACTTCTCGGTGCGCAGATTGGCGCAGGCACCAGCTGACACGCCTCTATCTGGGCACGGCAGAGTCGCGGGCAGAGACAGACAAGACTGGGCCAGTTCCGCCCTGAATGTACATAACCTCTCGCGCGACGCTCTCAGCGCGATGGGAAGATCAGCAACCGAGATTGCTCTGGCGCCTGAGAGGAAATCCGCCAAGGAAAGTTATGCAGTATTTCGAAAGCGGGTGCGTGATCCTGTTGAGCATGGATGTGGCAAACTTCGCAGCTGCGTCAAGCCCAAGGCCCGAATCGAGACGGAGCGCCGCGACCTTCCTGGAAGCTCTACGAACCTGAAGGACGTTCTCATTCAGAAGAGCTCTTGGTGGCAGCAGAAATGGGCTTCGAAGATGTCATCGGTTCAGCGTGTTGTTCTTTCACCTATTGCGACAAGCACATCAAGGATATCATGATCAGCTAAGGCCAGAACTCCAGCCCGAACAAGGCCATCGCAGTCAAGCAGATCAACTCCAAAAGGTCGGCGGGCGTCGAGCAGCTCGGTGGATCGCTCAGATACCTCCCCCTTCGGGCGTCGCACATCTCACTGCCGCCCTCAACAATTGCGATCGTCGAGGAGAATGGCCATAGCAAATTCGGTCTGCTGTCGTGGCCCTTTTGAGGAAAGACCCAGGCTCTGATCGTTCTATTGGATTGCTACCAGACTTGATTCGCCTGTGGAGTTCGGCCAGGCAGATTTATCCTTCTGAATGGGTTGACCGCATGGCAGGCAAATGGGGCCATGCCACCCGCGGTTCTTCAAATCTTCGCGTGGGTTTGCTCAGGGTCTTCGCGGACGAAGCTGCGCGCATGGGGCCCGAACGTACTGCGTCAGCCAGCCTGCTGTGGGACATCGGCAGTTTCTATGTCTCGCTGGAGTGTGAGCGGCTCTTCGAGCAGGGCCTGGCATTGACATGTCCACCGCTTGCCTTGCTCGTGGAAGGCCTTTCGCACCTCGTTGTTCGGATATTCCGGGAGAAGAAGTGCCACGCCCTCCCTGTCCAGGCGCACGCTGTATGCGTATGGCTCCGTCATATTCCTCTCGCAGGCACTCACCAAATCTGAGACTCTCTTGGGCAGGCTGCGTAACAAGGCGCACTTGGAGCAAGATCATCGCGGGGACAACAATCTGACTAAAGATATTGCACGTAAGCTGGCACAGCACAGTACTCACATTACGGTAGCACGCAAGCTGTAGACCTCGGCGCCGATAGAGGCACGAACATGCGAGCACGTCCTAAAGCAGCATCAAGACGAGCAGCAGCACGGAAACAAGTCAGCAAGGCACGCGAGCTTGTGGGAGCGGGTCGCACTGGCAAGCGCGCAGCACGCAGAGTCAAATCTCAGGGTTGCTACGCCAAAGTACAATGCGATGCAGCAGTGTATAGCGTGAGCCCTTCGACATTGCAGGCTTGGCGTCGAGCTATTGGAGGTACTTGTGCCAGCTCCATTTGTGGACGTTGCCTCGATACTCTGTTGCAGCTTGAGCTGGGCGGCAAAAACCCAGCCATCTCACAGGTATCTAAAATGCTCGATAGCTGGATGGTCATTCCGTCCTCTGGAGAGGAAGCACGCGCATTCGCAGCACGCGACTGGAGTACGCACGCCTCGCAGGCCAAGGAGACCCCAAGCACCGTTGGCGGAAGGTCAGTGGGCCCGCAATGGCCGTCGTGAACACCTTGCTTGCCATCAACTGGGACCCCGTCGGGCACTGGCATTGGGTATTCAGATCGGGGCAATATTTGTCAGGCTTCTCCAGAGATCCTCCAAGCGCCCCCCCTCGATATGGATGATCTACGACTGGGCTGAGCCGAAACAATACAACGTATACTTTGGAAATGAGCCACCAAACATTACGAACGCGATGACGTATGAAATGGGATCGTCTTGGCGGACGTACGACAGCAGCTACGACGATCTAGAGATCGAGAAAAACATGCTTGGGCAGGTGCTCTGGTCACTGCATGCTTTTGGGGCCAATTTCCTAAAACGAGAATTCGGGACGCCATCGATCCACCAGATGTTTCAATCGTTTTTGTTCGCTGCGTCAGCGGCCAGCCTGAGACCACGTTTCATCGAATTTGGGAATGTTCTGCGGACTTCAGCCTCTCCCCGGCCACCCGCAGCGAGGAACACGCGCACATAGCACGTACACAAGTGGATTCTCAACCGTCGGTATGGTTGCGGGGTCTCACACCAGCTTCATGGGCACAAGCATCTCTGCCGCCCGGCGAGCCCGACATTTTCGTGCACTCGCACGGCGAGTTCCCAGCCGATGCAGACACCATCGTCGGCGCAGGGGACGCCTTGGGAGGAAACTACTCTGCTCAGGCTAGGATTCGGAGGGTATCTTTGGCTTATATCGTGTTCCAGAGTTTCGACATCGACAATCCCGATCCCGATCCCGAGCTCACGGCTGCGAAGGTTTCTACGGGAGTCACATGGGGAGCCCAACTCATCAACCACAAAGAAATGATAGCTTTCTTGAGGTTCCTGGAGGAGGCCGCCACGGGCGGCCAGCTGGTCTATGCCACGTACTCGTCCTACGTTCAGAAGAATGCTGCAACGGTTGTCTGGGATCTCTTTCCCGACGGCCATCGGAACGAATGGCGAAGAATTCAATTGCTGCTTCGATCGAAGCCGACGGTCATTCTCAAGATCGAACCGCACATGACACCAAAGCTTGCGGCCGAGCAGACGGCCAAGAGAATACAGTTGCAGGCGGGGGAGGTGGAAGCTGTTCTGATTTCTGGGCCCTTAACCCGAGCTATTCGAACTCGTGCTTCAGAGATTTTCCTCTCGAGGTTCTTGGAGGTCCCTGGAGGTATTCCTGAGGGACAGTCTCGAATTAGGAAGGAAGCCAGAGCCAAGCAGCCTTCCCCTCCTGCTCCTCCTCCTCCTCGTGATTTCAACCCTCGCCCGAAGCTAGCTAAGCAGCTGCGCGTCATAATAAGCATCATCATCCTCATCGTCAACATCAGCATCAGCATCATCAGCATCATCATCAGCATCAGCATCAGCTTCATCATCACCCTCATCATTATCAGCAGCATCATCATCAGCATCAGCATCAGCTTCATCATCACCCTCATCATCACCATCATCATCATCATCATCATCATCATCATCATCATCATCATCATCATCATCATCATCGTCAACATCAACATCAACATCATCATCAGCATCATCACCAGCATCATCATCATCATCACCATAACTATCACTATCACCATCACCACCATCATCATCATCAGCAGCATCATCATCAGCATCAGCATCAGCATCAGCATCAGCATCAGCATCAGCATCAGCATCAGCAGCAGCAGCAGCAGCATCATCATCATCATCATCATCATCATCATCATCATCATCACCATCCCCCTCCTCCACCTCCCCCTCCTCCACCTCCATCCACATTCCGAATCGTCATTACGCGCTCCCACTTCTCTCGCTTTCGCCAGAGACAATACGAAATACAGAGCCGGCTGTTTCTGCAGAGACGGTGCTCGTCGGCGCTAGAGGCTGCAGCGCGGGAGCGATACGCGGCGCATGCCGCGCTCAAGCGGGCAGAGTGCCGCCGTCGCCCGAGCGCCGCGCAAATGTTCCCTGACGCGGGCGCCCCCGCGGGGGCAGGGCGCACGCTCTGCGTCCGCCGGGCGTCGGCAGCGAGCCCGCGCCCGAGAGAGCGACGCGCCGTCTGCGCCCCCCGTGCCGCGCGGGCTCCTCTTGGGCATCGTGCTCCCGCTCGGGCGCTGCGCCTCGCCTCCCTCGCCACGACGTCCAGGCGGGATCTGCGCGCCAGCGAGCGGAACGCGGTCCTCGCTCGCCGCCTGCCCGGGGCCACTCCCTGGGCGGCGACACCGCGTCCGGGGCCCCCCGTCGTCGGGGGAAAATCCGTGCGCCACGGGGCACGCCCTGCCGGCCAGCCCGGGCCGCGTGCCCGGCGGCTCGCGACCTGGCGACCTGGCGAAGACGCCCCGCCCAGTCTTCCGGAAAGACGTGTGGCCGCCCTGCCCCTCGGTGCGGGCGCGCACGCGGGACGCGCCGACGCGCCGGGGGAAATTGGCCACTCCCTGGGCGCAAAATCGGGGCCCTCGAGCGCATCCGAACCAGGGCGGGTCTCCTTTCCGCTTTACGGCTGGGGGCCGCGCATCGGGGCCCCAGCTGACATAATGCTGATCCTCCTCCTCCTCCTCCATAATTATCTTGATGTTAACAAAAAACGTTTGACACTGCCAATCTTACTATGCTTTTCTTATAGGCCTTATTCTGCTGATTCGTATGTTTCTGAGTCGTCGCAATATTATACAATTGTTTGTTTTTCGTGCTGGTATGGTTCGTAGAAGTGTTATTATTCGTACTAGTAGTGTTCGTAACATTACGACTACTACTACGACTACCACTACCACTACCACTACCACTACCACTACCACTACCACTACCACTACCACTACTACTACTACTACTACTACTACTACTACTACGACTACTACTACTACTGCTACTACTACTACTACTACTACTACTACTACTACTACTACTACGACTACGACTACGACTACTACTACGACTACGACTACGACTACGACTACGACTGCGACTGCGACTGCGACTACGACTACGACTGCGACTACGACTACGACTACTACTGCTGCTGCTGCTACTACTACTACTACTGCTACTACTACTGCTAATACTAGTACTACTACTACTACTACTACTACCACGACCTACTACACTACTACCTACTACTAATACTACTTACTACTACTACTACTACTACTATTACTACTAGTACTATTACTACTACGAACACTACTACTAGGACTAGTACTAGTACTACTACTACTACTACTACTACTACTACTACTACTACTACTACTACTACTACTACTACTACTACTACTACTACTACTACTACTACGACTACACACTACTGCTACGAAGACCACAACTACTACTAACTACAACGACTCCGACCACTACGACGACGATCGGCAACTACTCCTACCACTACGGCAACGACTACTACGACTACGACTACTACGACTACTACTACTACCACCACTACTACTACTACTACTACTACTACTACTACTACAACTACTACTACTACTACTACTACTACTACTACTACTACTACTACTACTACTCCTGCTGCTGCTGCTGCTGCTGCTGCTGCTGCTGCTGCTAGCTGCTAGCTGCTACTGCTAGCTGCTACTGCTACTGCTACTGCTACTGCTACTGCTACTGCTACTGCTACTGCTACTGCTACTGCTACTACTACTACTACTACTACTACTACTACTACTGCTGCTGCTGCTACTACTTCTACTACGTACTACTACTACTACTACTACTACTACTACTACTACTACTACTACTACTACTACTACTACGATTGCCAGTACACTTCGTAGTGTTCTTCGCGCTAGTCATACTCTGATGCCCCGTATTACTAGTACTATTACTGAATACACGTGCCACTCGTATTATTCGTGCAATTATGATTCTTAGTCTTATATGCGTATTCGGTGTCTTCTTCATCTTCGTAATAGTCGTCATAGTATTAATGTTAGTGTGATTCATAATAACAACATCATCATCATTCGCATAATCAGTGTTGTTCATTGTGTTGATACTGGCATGCTCATGATGAGGCTGATGATGATGCTGCTGCTGCTGACCATGATGATGCACATCAGCATAATTCGCATCACTTGTTCTGTTACTGCAATGTTGCAATATATGTAAAGTAGCTCGTATAACTACTACGCTTTCTCACGATTATGAATTACGAATACTATTGTCGCTCGCACTATCAATCCTCGCTCCCCCTCCTGCTCGTCCTCCCCCCTGCTGCTCCTCTCCCCCCCGAAACGCTCCCTGCAAGATGGGCCGCCTGGTGGGCCGCCTGGGCCGCCTCGAACGTGGTCTCGTACCCAGAGCCGGCGCCCCGGATGTGGAACTGGAACGCCTGCGCCTCCTGCGCCCTGCGACGGGGGGGGGTAGGAGGAGGAGGAGGAGGAGGAGGAGGAGGAGGAGGAGGAGGAGGAGGAGGAGGAGGGGAGGAGCGAGGAGGCGGAGGAGGAGGGGGGGAAGGGGGAGGAGGAGGAGGAGAGGAGGCGGAGGAGAGGAGGAGGAGAAGGAGGAGGAGGAGAGGAGCAGGCGTATGGATGAAGAGGAGGAGGAGAGGAGGGGGAGGGGGAAGGAGGAGGAGGAGCGAGGAGGAGGAGGAAGGAGGAGGAGCAGGAGGAGGAGGAGGAGGAGGGAGGAGGAGGAGGAGGAGGAGTGGGAGGGGGAGGAGAAGGAGGAGGAGCAGGAGGAGGAGCAGGAGCAGGAGGAGGAGGAGGAGGAGGAGGAGGACGGGGAGGGGGAGGGGGGAGGGGGAGGAGGAGGAGGGGAGGAGGAGGGAAGGAGGAGGAGGAGGAGGAGGAGGAGGAGGAGGCGAGGAGGAGGAGGAGGAGGAGGACGAGGAGGAGGAGGGGGAGGAGGAGGGAGGAGGAGGAGGAGGAGGAGGAGGAGGAGGAGGAGGAGGGGGAGGGAGGAGGAGGAGGAGGAGGATGGGAAGGAGAAGGAGGAGGAGGCAGGAGGAGGAGGAGGAGAGCGGAGGAGGAGAAGCTCTGCGAGAGGCTGGTGCCTGTCAGACTCTGGGAACGAGGCCCCGGGCCTGGCGCGCATTGATGAGGAAGGAGAAGAAGGTGGCCCGTCCACCGGGGCGCTTCTGGAAGGGACAAAGGCCTCCTACCCCTTCCTCTTCCTTCTCCTCCTCCTCCTCCTCCTCCTCCTCCTCTTCGCCGTCGCTCTCCAGGTCCTTCAGGACCCAGGCACCAGGTATGGCGCGCAAGATGAGGAAGGAGAGGAGGGTGGTCTTTCGGGGGGCCTCTTGCACTTGGAGGGAAGGCTGGCACGGACGCAGGACGAGGGGCTTGGGACGGGAGGGTGTGCTGCAGCATCGCTGATTGCATTATGGCTTTTCTCTGTGCCTCCTCTGTCTCCTCGTCGCTGCCCTCCTGCTCCTGGCTGTCCTCTTCCTCCACCTCCTCCTCCTCCTCCTCCTCCTCCTCCTCCTCCTCCTCCTCCTCTTCCTCCCCCTCTTCCTCCTCCTCCTCCTCCTTCTCCTCCTCGTCCTCGTCGTCGTGCTCCAAATCCTCCATGGCAGTGGGGGGAGCGGTCCTGCCGGCGTCGGCGTAAAGCTGCCTCCACACGGGCACGATGCGGACGCGCCCAGACAGACTGCGGCCCCCAGCGCGGATGTCCCCCCACTGCTCGTACTTACCTGAGACTCCTCCGCCCTCCTCTTTCCACCTCCACCATCTCCTCCGCCGCCCGTTCGTCGTCGTCGTCCTCCTCCTCCCTATCCCCCCCTTCCTCTCCTCATCCTCCTCTCTCCTCTCCTCCTCCTCCTCCTCCTCCTCCTCCTCCTCTGTCTCCTCCTCCTCCTCCTCCTCCATCCATCCCTCCTCTCTCTCTCTCTCTCTCCAGTCTCGGCTCGAGAGCGCTGGGCGCTCAGAACGTAGCCAAGACAAATGACCTTCCGCGCCGTCCAGCCCAATGAGACTGTAATCGTATCACTAAAGCGGGACCCCCAGGGCGAACGCCTTCTGGCCGAGGGTCCGGAGGCGGCGGTACCGAGGGACACCTGTCCTGCATGCAGCCCGCGATGCCGGCCAAGAGGCTCGCGACGACCCCTTATCCAGGATCCCGACGAGGACGCTGGCCCCGTCGGCGACCCGACCGAAGACCTGGGCGACGGGGGAGGCCTCGCGCAGAAGCGCAACGCCCAAGGGCGACGCACATGCCGCAACTGCACGACACACAGACTGGCTCACCACCAACGCAAGGACATCCTCGACCGCATCCAAGGCACCGCCCAAAGGAGGCCACACCGTGGGGCGGAATGCAGGAGGCGCTCCGAAACCGTGTAGACCGATGTGTCGCACGGGTGCCGGACGACCCGCGGTGCCCCGGCCGCGCCCCGCCACCCCGTGCCACGCGCAGCCAAGACGCGACATGCAGACGTCAGCGCGAAGCCTGCAGCATCTGTCTCGCGGCGTGGGAGCACGCGCGCTGGGCCGGGGCTGCAGAGCGCAGAGCCTCCAGCAGACACCCCTGCGCTGACCGCGGGGCGCACCCCGTCACCTGCACCCGCCCTCCGCGCGGCGCCGCGGCGGCGGCGGCGCGCCAGCAGACGCAACGGATCCTGCAAAGCTGGCCCGACTGCAGCAGCAGACGCCGCGCAGTCAAGCCTGGATGCGAGCCGCCCAGGCGCCGGACATCCTTCGCCGCCGCGCGCCGCCGCCGCCGCCGCCCCCGCCAGGGAGCCCCGCTGAACGCCGGCATGCCGCCGCGACCACCACTGGCGACGGCGGCAGCTGACTCGCTGACGTCCCAGGAGCCCCAGGTCCCGCCAGGGGAGGCGTCTCCCGACGACGACTCCTTCATGGACCAGACACGTCCGACGACGACCTCCATCGGCCAACCCGCGCGGAGGGCCAAACCGACGCCGCCTCAACGCCGCGCGGCAACCACAAGACACGACGCACAGTGACTGCATGCACTTGGCTCAGTCTAGATAGCTCTGGACACAGTCATCGCCGTGGGCGAAGGAACGACGGGGGCAGACGTGCACGCGACTGCGCGCAGCAGCACGTCGACGTCGACCACGACGGCTCAAGCGTCCACGTCGGCCACGACGTCGAACAGTACTCGCTCGCCGCCACGGCGGACGCCGTCGCGACCATCGATTCCATCCTCGGAGCTATCACCAAGGCAGGCACTGTCAGAGGCCCCCTCTTCCTCCTGCGCTGGGCGCGCAAAGTGGCGGCAACAGAAGGAGAACGGGACGTGGGCGTCAACGCTCCTCCGCTCCTCCTCCTGCCTCCTCCTCCTCCTCCTCCTCCTCCTCCTGTTCCTCCTCCTGTTCCTCCTCCTCCTCCGCCTCTTCCTCCTCCTCCTCCGCCTCCTCCCTCCTCCTCCTCCTCCTCTCCTCCTCCTCCTCCTCCTGCCTCCTTCCTCCTCCTCCTCCTGCCCTCCGCCTTCCCCTACCACCTCCTCCCCCTCCTCCTCGTCTTTCCTCCTACCTTTCCTCCTCCTCCTCCTCCTCCTCCTCCTCCTCTCGTCGTCGCCCTTCCTCATCCTCGTCGGTCGTCCTCCTCCTCCTCCTCCTCCTCCTCCTCCTCCTCCTCCTCCTCGTGCCCACCTGAGGCCGCGTGCGAGTCGCCTCGATGGTCCTGGACCCGCATCGAGAACGGGCGCAGCGTCCTGTTGCCCGCGCCGTTCGGGCCCACGGCGTTGCGCCGCAGCGGCACGACGCGCACCACCCGGCCGCCCAGCCACTGGCCACCGAGGGCCAGGCTCTCGATGTACAGGCCGCACGGGCCGTTCCCGAGGGGCTGCAGCGAGGCGTTGAGCTCCTTGGGCGCTGCGTCGTGGGGGGGCGACGGGCCCAGGCCCCCTCGAGTCGTGGCATGCAGGAATCACGACGGGTTTTTTTCTGCCAGCTCTAACCTCTGGGGGCCCTTGCCGGGCCCTCGGGGCCGTCAAACAACGACTCGGAATGAAAAGGTGGCCCCGGGGAATGCTGGCGGCGCGCGCAAGGGGGTGGATGGAGGGGGGCGGGCTTCTTAGAAGGAGGCTGCTTCTTCGTCGAAGGCGCCGGCCTTACGCCTATAGAGAAGGCCCGCGCCTTCTAAGGAGCAGGGGTGCTTCTAAGAGGCCCTCCCCCTCCCCCCGCCCCCCTCTGATGGGCCTGTTTTCCACCGCCACCACAACCACCGCCACCATCAGTTGGAGGGGGAGGGGGTCCTCTTCCTGCTCCTCCTCCTCCTACTCCTCCTCCTCTTATTCGTCCTCCTCCTCCTCCTCCTCGTCGTCCTCCTTCCCCCCTCCAACTTACCGTAACATCTTTCCCGTAACATTAGTAGATATTTTGAATTTGTGTAATGTAATTGCAAAATATTATTGTAATGACCCAAAGTAAACTGATAACAGGACCTCAAACTAAGCGAGAACATATGTAAATGCAACAGAACAAAGCAGTGAAGGACATGAACACATAATCATATTATACTTCAGACAATATGCACCACTACAAAATAATAATATGAAGTGAATCTCTGATTATTTATTTAATAATTAAATATTTATGTGTTTATGTATGTATTTATTGATTTATTTATGGATTTCCTTGTTTATTTCGGTTTAAGCCTGCGGCTGGTACCCGATGGATTACGGTTCTGTGATGCCATGCGTTTTCCAGAGTCTCAATTCAACGGAAACGCATCCACGAACCGCAACCTCGAGCGCAGCATTTAGTGCGGCCCCGCAAGGGCGAGGCGCCGCCGCCTCGCGCCCCGCGCCGTCTGCTTAGCGGCTGGCGCCGCGGCCGGGCTCTCAGCTGCCGCCGCCGCGCCGCCAGAGGCTGCCTCCGACTCGGAGGAACCCTCGGCCGCCGGCGGCCCCGTCAAGGAGGCGGCGGCGGAGAGCTCGGCGGGCGCGGGTGCGAGCTCTGGCCCGGAGCTGGCGGCGGCTGAGCGCCCGGCGCAGGGTTCGGCCGAGCGGCCGCGGCCGCGGCCGCGCCGCCCTGCTGCTCCTGCTGCCCGCCCGCGGCCGCCGCGGGTGCCGCCGCCGCCGCGGCCCTGCGCCCGCGCCACCCCAGAGCCGCGCCTCGGCGCTGGCGGAGGCTCGGCGCTGGAGGAGCTGTCGTCCAGCGGCCTGGCAGGAGCCGGCAGTGCCATCTCGGTGTCGCTGTCGCCCCTGTCGTGGAGCGCCATCGAGCTGTCGTCGTCGTCGTCGTCGTCGTCGTCGTCGTCGTCGTCTTCCGGCGCTCGCGCCCGCGCTTCACCGCCGCGGGCTGCTGCGGCCAGCGCCGGGGAGGGGAGCGACTCCGACGGCGCATAGGGCAGCTGGTTTTCGATCGCCTGCAGAAGACGGCTCCGCAGCGCCGGCTCGAGGCCGTTCCTCGACAGCCTGGCGGCCCCCAGCGCTTCCCGGAGCTGCGGCACCGTCATATTCTCGTCGCCTGCTTTATCGAGAACGGGATGCCAACTGGCCCTGGCTCCGCCGCATGCTCGACCCCCGCCTGGGCCGCTCGGCCCCCCGGCCCCCTCCCGCTGCAAAGACCCTCGATGTCGCACGAGGGCGCGCGTCTGGCGCGGCCGCGGGAGCTAGACGCAGGCTCTGCAGCTGCCGGGGGCATTGGAGCTGCCGGCGCTGGAGCTGCCGAAGTAGCAGCCGGAGCCGGGGCCAGCGCCGCACCGAGCGCCGTCACCGCGCTCAGAGCCGCGCTCAGCGCCGTGGTCAGCGCAGCCAGCGGCGCTGCTACTTCTAGCGCGATCCCTGCTGCTGCTGGTTCTGCAGCCAGCGGCGCTGCTACTTCTGGTGCGAGCCGCGCTGCTCTGGCTCCTGGTGGTGGTCGGGCTGCAGCTGCTGGTGCTGGTGCCGCAGCTGCTGGTCCTGCTGCTGCTGCTGCTGCTGCTGGTGCCACAGCTGCTGGACCTGCTGCAGGCCTCTGCCGGCCCTCCGGCGGCCGGCCCGGCCGCCCTTCAACCCGCCGGCCAGGGCGCCGCTCTGGATTCCATGAGCGCCGCACCTCCTCCAAAGCCTCTGCAGGAGGCATGGGCTGGCGCCAGACCTCAGGAGCTGCTACGAGAGGCTGATCATCACCCGCGTCGCCGCCCTCATGGCGATCCACTGGCTGCCCCACGCCTCCGCCGCGTCGCCGGTCCGAGGCACGAGGCAGAGCAGCTGCAGCACCCGCGCCTCCGCCACGCCGCCGGTCCGGGACACGAGCCGTAGCAGCGCCGGCTGGTAAGCCCGCGTCGAAGTCGACTTGCACCGATCGATGCCGAGCAGGAAGGGCGCCGGCGTCCGCCGTGGCTGCGCTGGCCCGCCTCGCCCACCCGGGAGCCCTGCTGAGGGGGGGAGATCACGACACTGCTGTTCCCTAAATCTATCCCGGCGTGCGTTCTGACCAGAGATCTGCATCGAATCCAGCCCTTGACGACGAGAAACTTCTAGGGTGAGCAGCGGCCTCGTTATCTTTCCTCCGCTGACCTTACGAGCCGCTCGAAAACGCCCTCGATCCGGGCCCTCTCGCCGCGCCACGGCTGCGCCGGAGGCGGCGCCGCCCGCCCGTTGCTCGCCGGGGCCGCGCTGCGAGCCCTCGCCGCCGTCGGCCCCAACTTGAGCCTGAACTCATTCCGGAGGCGCAGATAAGAAATCATGCAATGCAA